TTTCTGTTTTATGTTTCTTGTATTTCTGAAAAATAATGTGAAAGTTCCATAAATCCAAATTATTAATTTGTAACAAGATAAATTCCATACAAAAACTTTTATGCAACCCTGTTTTTGCCTGTATACCAGGTCTTCTGGTTGTTAGGACATTGCTTCTTTTTTGAGATAACTTTTTTATGTATCAAAAATATATGCTGTGCGTAAGTAACGTTTCTTCAATACATTATTAAAGGCCATATTGAAACTATTTAGGCCACGAATACTTGGAATGCACTGTAAAGATTTGTTTGACAGACAAATCCCTTCTTGCAATATAAAAACATATGTATTGCTACACATGGGGCACATCTACATGAGATGCTTAACTTTGCATTAGCATAGTTTACTGCAAATGCAAGTAGCAAACTTATTCGAGATTAGTAATGATGCAGTAGTGCTCATGTAGATGTTTGACCAGGAGCAAAATCTGCTCCTGGTCAGCCGTCCACAAGGGGGCGGGAGATAGCTCTTTGTCTCTGAGAGCTGCCTGGGAGCAAGGAGCTCCAAGCCCCCTGCTCTGAGATTACAATGGGGAGTGTGGGGCTGGGAGACCCTTATCCCCCAGCACTGGCTCCACAACCACAGGGCCAGAACTGGGAGATACTTATCTCCCAGCCTGAGCTCTGTGGTCATGGGGCTGGGACATAAGGGTTTCCCAGCCCAAGCTCCATGACTGTAGAGCTCTGGCTAGGAGGTAAGGATCTCCTAGCACAAGGCCCACAGTTGCAGAGCCGGCACTGGAAGATAAGGGTCTCTTAGCACAGACCCCATGACCGCAGACTTCAGGCTGGGAGACTCATCTCCCAGCACCAGCCCAGCAGCCACGGAACCAGTGCTGGGAGCTTCCTGCTGGCGAGACAGGGGAGCCTGTTCCCCACCCAGCTCTGCAAGCACAGAACTGGGGGTGGGAAACAGACTGGGGAGCTTGTGCCCCGCTCAGCTCCACTCTCAGAGCTGGGAGAGGAACAAACCCCCCAGCCTGTTCCCCACACCCCAGTTCTATGCTCATTGCTCATGGAGCTGGGCAGGAAAAAAGTCCCCCCAGTCTGTTACCCCTCAGCTCGGAGCTAAGTGGGGAACAAGCTGCCCAGCCTCTGCCCCACATGCAGGACAGGGGCTGGGAACTGTCCTAGTCAGTGACAGGTCCCAACCCCATGCCCCAATTGGGTGATCAAGGCACAGGGCTTGGAAAAAGCTGCAGAGGTAGGATAGGTCCTAGCCCCCTGCCCCCATCTGCTGGTGCAGAAGCTAGCAGCAAGACTGTCTGTTAGTTGCCCCACCGGCAGATCAGGGCAGAAGGCTGGGATCTTTCATAGATTTCATAGACATCAGGGCTGGAAGGGACCTCGGAAGATCATCGAGTCCAGCCCCCCGCCCAAAGGGCAGGAAGTCAGCTGGGGTCATAGGATCCCAGCAAGATAAGCATCCAGTTTCATCTTGAAGGTGTTCAATGAAGGCGCTTGAACCACCTCCGGTGGCAGGCTGTTCCAGACCCTGGGGGCTCGGACAGTAAAGAAGTTCTTCCTTATGTCCAGCCTGAAACGATCTTGAAGTAGTTTGTGACCATTCAACCTCGTCATCCCTTGGGGCGCTCTGGTGAACAAACGTTCCCCCAGATGCTGGTGGTCACCCCTGATAAACTTGTAGGTTTGCCTGTGTGAAGGAAGGATTTTGAGGCCAGCCTTGCCCCTGCTGTTCTGTGGGATGTCCTTGGGCTCTGCTCATGTGAGAAGGGGCTGGCAGCATCGGACTTGGAGCTCCTGGTTCAGACCCCTGAGCAGTGCATCCCAAGGCTTCCCCTCCTGCTGTCTCCACATAATTGCTATTCTCCGGGGTGGCTCGAGACTGATCTAATTCCACTCGTGTGCTGTGGCTGTGGGGATTAGCAGCGCTCAGCTCTCAAGCGCCGGTGCTCCGTGTGCTGGGTGAATGTCACTCTCAGCCTGCTCCCTGGTCTCTCAAAGCCGGGGGAAAGGTGGCTATGACCCATGCGGGCTTGGGGTCCCTGGCATTGCCAGAGGCATGGGTTCGGAGTGGCCTGAGTAGCCTCACAGCCCCTGATGCAGCACTGAGCATCCTTGGAGCTGCTTCGGTTCAGAGATCATTAATGAAGATGTTGAACAGTATGGGTCCAAGGACAGAGCCTTGGGGGACCCCACTGGTCACAGGACACCACGATGAGTGACTTCCATCGATTACTACCCTCTGGGTCCGACCCCGGAGCCAATTTTCCAGCCAGCGGATCGTGGAGGACCCAAGGCGACAATTGGCCAGTTTCTCCAAGAGGCGATCATGGGACACCAGATCGAAGGCTTTTTTGAAGTCAAGATATATGACATCAATCTCTTCTCCCTTGTCCAGGTGATAGGTCACCTGGTCGTAGAAGGAAATGAGATTGGTCATCTGTCCCTCCCCTGTAGCTCTTTCCAAGTCCTCTGCCCCTGATTGGGGAGCAAGGGTGAGGAGCTCCATGCTTACGGGGCAGGGGGACATTGTCCTCACCCCAGCAGCAGGCAGTCTCTCAGGGCCAAGAGACAGCTGTCTTCTGGCCTGGTGCTCCCTGCCAGGCCCTGGGCTAGCACCTGGAGAAAGCCTAGAGCTCCCCCACAGAGGAAGCAGGGGCCCATTACAGGGCTGCAGGAAACTTGGTGCAAAGAACAGCAAATCTGCTCCCTAAATCCCTGCATATATAGATGCCTACCCAAAAGCACTTACTCCAGAGTACAATTAGGCTGGAGTAAATGCATGTGTAGACACACCCATACAGTATTTAATTTACCTTATTCTTCTGATAGGATATTAACGTTTCTGTGTTTAGGAATCTGGCATTGATGGCAAGTGCAGAGAAATGAGTTATCAAAGCCAATGGTGTGCCTCAGGGCAATATTAGGATCCACGGATTTTGAAGAACATTTTTGATGGAATTTTCCCCAGTGATTTCTTCTAAGGTATTTAGGCATTGTGAAACATTAACATGAATGAAGTAATGGAATATTTTATAACAGCTATGATGAGTCTTTAGTCCAGGGGCAGGCAAAGTCCGGTCAGCAGGCCAGATCGAGCCCATAGTCGAGTCCATTTTTCAGCAGCCCTTGCCCACGTCACTGCAGCCAGTTCCCACGGAGACCTCTGGAGCGGTGGGGCTGTGAGTATGTGGGGCCAGGGTTTCCATGGAGATGGGCCCGAGGAGTGCTGACAGGGCACACAGCTGGACATGGAGCTGCTCCAGGGCCAGGGGTGGGATTTTGCTGTGGTGAGAGCATGGGCTAGGGCCAAAGCACAGCTGCAATCTGCTATCCACATGCCCTGGGCAGAGGCATGCAGGCAGTGGATTGCGGTTCTGCTCCAGCTCCAGACCACGCTGTCACCACCACAAAATCTCAGCTCTGGCCCCAGAGCAACTCCCCACCCAAAAGTGCATCCTGCTAGTGCTCTCCAGTTGGTCTCCATGGAAACCCTGGCCCTGTATTGTCATGGCCCCGCCACTCCTGGGGTCTCCATGGAAACGAGCCACAGCAACATGGGCAGGGGCTGCTGGAAATGGAGTCTGGCCACTGGCCAGATCTACCATTTTGCATTATACATTTGCAAAAAGAACCAATTGAATACACACACCTTCCAACAGAATGCAGGACCTCCCTTCATATCTGATGCAAAAGTACAGTGTTATCTTCTGATTTGTTCTATACACGTCCACCAATCATAGTTCTCCCTGGGTTTTGTGTGCAGGAAATGATTAAATTGATTCTTGGAGGAATAATGCAAACAATATTATTGTTTCACAGAAAAAAGTACTTGTTACCACATTTCTAAAAAGTTTGCTATGTCTTCTATGAAAGTCCATCAATATTGGTTGAGGGAGTAAGAAGGTCTGGATTTCATCTCATTTTCATTAAGCTGAAGAAGCCAGTGTAAGCTTGAGCATAGAACACATGTGGAGTTTCTCAAAAATATACTCAAGCATTGAAAGGCCAACTTCAAATAAAGAGCTAAATTCTCAGTTGGGTAGAGTCAGTATTCAGAGTCGTTCAATGCATGCATAGAGCTCAATTGTGGATGTAAACTTTAGATATAAAAAATAACTAATTAATCATCATAGCAATACCTTGGATATTGCCAACAGAGATTTTTTTTTAATGACAAATCTGCAAATTTTTTACTGACAAAACATTTTACTGACACATGTTTTTACTAATATCATGTTTTTTATAATATAAATGTAACCCTTCTACTAGACCCTGGATGGCAGTAACAAGGGCTGTGTTTAAATGTAGGGATTTATACCAACCATAGTAAAAGCTTGGTTGTCAGTAAAAAGTTTGCAGATTATCAGTTAAAAAAATAAAAACCAAAAACAAAATACCATCTTGGGTTGTCAACACTGCTAAACTACAGCAAAGGTTTTCACTATGCTGCCCATACCTCAGGGGTCCCCTACTCACCCCCATACCCTGACCTCACTCCAAACCATGCTCCTGATACTCCTGACCTCACTCCAAACCATGCTTCCCCCATCCCAGTTCGCCCCCCAGTTCATCCTGGGAAAGACCCCAACCTGCTGCCTCTCCCCACTCTCAGCCCCGCAACTCCATCTCAGTCACACCACCCTCTCCCTGTCCTGTCTATACATTCCCTCATATCTTTATGGAAGCTGCAAGATCACCAGCATGAATGGGGCATAATAAAACAGAAGAAAATATAAACTGTAATCAGGACAAAAAGAATGAAACCTTAGAGACAAGAAAGTAAATTTTCTTTCAACTAATCTGCCTTTTGTCAGCCTCAGCTTAATTGCTGGCTGCATTCAGTGTGGACTGCTGGATGCAGACTCATCATCAACTCATTTCCAGTTCAGCTTTTGAAAAGTCTGTTCAGATGCAAGATTTTCTCACCTGAAATATTTTGTAAAATGCTAAAAACATTGAATGTTTATTACATTAAGCTTTTAGGAATTAACATACCGAAATGAGAACAACTGGATACAAGGTAGAAATATTTGCATTTTCAAGGATATCCACCAGTTGTGTTTCTTGAAAGGCAGATTTTTTAACCTAAGTGAAAACAAATATCTAAAGTTACCAAAAGAAAATAAAACAAAATTATTGATTCAATACAATATAGTTTTTTTTTTATTTTATGAAAGAGGAAATGCATCCTCTTTCATAAAGTTATTTATGAAATAAATTATTATTTATTTATTATTTATATGTTATTTTTATTTATGAAAGAGGAAATGCATAATTAACCTCTTATAACTGATCATAATTTTACTTGGTAGGGGTACAGCCACATGCAGGGTGTTCTGCTGAAAACTACTTCTTTCTTTTTTGTTACACAAATACAAAATCAGAGTCTAAACACATGGTATGTATTGTTCAGTGTAAGCCTCCCTGATCCCAAAGATTCCTAGCTGGATATCTGATGTAATGGATTTGTTAGAACTAGCAAGTGGCAGGTAAGACTTGCCAGGTTTGATGCCTTATGAATGCCAAGTTTGATTCAGCCAAGCTCATCTCTTTCTATATGAAACCATTGTAATGGACTACAGTCTCTGAGAGAAGATGTGTCAAATGGATTTTCAAGAACTCAAGAACCAGGTACTTGTGACCAGAGTGCATGTAAGAATGGGCAAGAGGAGGGCTGACATGCAATTATCAATGTGTAACAAGTCTAGAAATGGGAACGCCATGAGGTAACCTGTTCAAAGAACTGTTAATTATTCTAATGCTTTATTATCATTTACCACAAAAAAAAAATCAATGGCAAACCTTAAAATGTAAAGTAATATGTTCTTGCATAATACTTACATGCATACAAATAAAATTGTAGCATTGTCCTAAAATGATGTTCTGCATATAATTATCATCTTTGCATAGAGATACTGATATACGTTTAACCTGCTAAAAAAGCATATGGGTATTACATTACTATACATATTCAGAATGGTGTTATTTTTCATGTTCAAAAGCCTCCAAAGTTGTTGTATATATTTCATACTACCTGGCTTAAAATTAGCAATTAACATTCTAAATACAAGAATCAAAACACTCCCTGCCACTTAAATGAGACAACAGAACAATGTTTCACTATACAGCTACAAAACATGTAGAAGATGAAGAAAACCTGGAGCAGGGTTGCCAAATGTCTGAAAATTTATGAACAGTCTGTAAAAAGTCAATCGAAAAATGCCTCTCCATGGAGCAGGGGCAGGCAAAATAGGGCCCATGGGCTGGATATAGCCCACCAAGCCATTCTATCCAGCCCACAGGGCCCCTAAAAAATTTAGAAAATTAGTATTTATCTGCTCCTGGCTGCCTGTCAAAGATGACAGGAGCCAGGGGCAGTAGGACCCAGGGGAAACCAGCAGCAGGACCGAGCAGCCCAGTTCCACCCCACCCTGGCCATTTTCCTGTATTCCTGGCCCCATACTGCTCCGGCACCATGTGGATCCCGGCTGCATTGCTGGACCATGGGAGCATGGGGACATGCCAGTACATACGTACGTGTGTGTGGGGGGGGTGAGTCCCACATGTAAACCCCACCATATATACATACACCCCCTTCGCACTGCCATACACACAGACCCTCACATTCATACCCCTCACACACCCCAGCCACCCTCCCCCCCACACGCAGTTCCCCCACAAACCCCATACACACCCACATCCCACATATCCGCACACACCCACACCTGCTCTCTCACCCCACACCCATGCCCCCACACCTATCCACCCCCCACAGACATACACACCCTCCCCCACACCCACAGCCCCCCACAATATACAAGTGCAAGACTTCATTTTAAGTTATTATATACAAATCACCTCTATGTACACCATACAAAGACATCTAAACCAGGACAAAAATATTTTTTTAAATCAAATTAGTGAATGTTTTAGATGTTTGCTTTTTAGAATATAATTTGGTATTTTTCTGCTTCTGAGATGGCAAAATTCCTTGCTGAAAGGAGTACTTCCGGAGGCAAGGGGAGGGACTTCTGGTGGCAAAGGTCAGGGGTTATGCGGCAGGACTTCCAATCACAAGATGGCAACTAGGGGGCAGGGCACCTGTCAAGGGGCAGGGCTACCCAATGTGGCCCTCAAAAGCCTGCCAAAACTCAGTAAGTGGCTCTCCACCTGAAATAACTTCCCAGCCCTGCTACAAAGCCTATTACAAAAAACTTGAATCATCTGTAAAAACTTTAAGCAGCATGTCAGTGTGCCCGTCCTGGGTACCTGTTTCTCTTGTAGCTCCCCCAATTCCCGCCTGCCACGACTTGATCTAAATGCAAATTTGGCGGGGAGGAAGAGGTGTTAGATGCCGGTACCGCAGTAAGGAACACACTGGCCAGATCTTAGTCCAAAGTGCTTTATTATTATTAGTCTGTGATGCTCGCTCTCTCTGAACGCCAGTCAACAAGGAGATCGCCACGTGGGTCCTTGCCGTTTGTCTCCCATGGTAAGGACTACTGGTTAATTTGATGATCAGCTGCTAATTGCCTTGTTAGCGGCTGATTAACACCGACCCTGGGATTCCCCGGCTGTGGCTCGTGCCGGCATGCGAAGCGCAGCTTAGTCAGTTTCACTTTCTCTTTCTTTCACTTTCTCTCCTCTCCGCCTCCCTTCACCCTCCAGTGAGGGATCAAGGTTACTGTGTCTGCAGGGCAGGATTGGGTGCTCCCTCGCCCTCTTTCTCTCTGTCTCTCTCTCTGCTCTTCTCCCCACGCTCGGGGAATCTCACCATGCTGAGCCCCAGGAGCTGCAAGGGTTTCCGCACTGCCGCTCCTTTTATGACTCACTGCAGAGGCCATCTCTCCAGGTAGGATGTGATCCGGGGGGGGTGGGGGGGGTATCGATCCCCCAAAATCCCTTTGTCGTCGGGGAGCACGTCCTTGTCTCCTGGACTCTCTCAGCATTCCTCGCCGTAGGCCTCTCTCTCGTTCCTCTCAATGGGTAAGTGCCCGAAGGCAGCCTTGGGACGTTTCCTCCCTCTCTTTCTTTCTCTTTCCTGGGTCCTCATTGGCTGCCTGGGTTATTACGTTCCCCATTTCCCGGATGTTCTAATCTCCAGCAGCTGCTACCTCATCTTAGTAACCGAGTCGTGGCTGCGACGCTGTTACACAGCAGAACTGATTGAAGCCTTGTGTTGAAGGACAGACAGAGCACAGCAGTACAACATAGTGAGTGAGTGGGAGCACAGCACATTGCTAGGACCCTTCTCTTGAGGGCTTTAGACTTCTCCCCAACTAGGCATGTATCACTGCTGCTAAGTCCTGTCAGCTGCCTATAATATTGCTGGATTGCAGGTATTCTTTGTCAATCTATGCTAAGACAGGGGGAGCAGGGTCATAAGGGTAAGGCTTGGGGAGAGGAGGCATGGTGGGGTAGCATGGTACAGGGTGCAGCTGGGGGCAGCAATGTGTGGGAGCAATTACAGGACCCCAGGAAAGTAGCACAATGTAAACCCGCTGCTGCAGTCATAATTTTTTTTCTACTACAAACATCCTACTGATCATTTTTTTACTATGGTTGGAATTAAACACCTAAATTTGAACCCAAGCCTTCTAACTGGGGCCTGACAGCAGAGCAGGGACTAAAAGAAGAGTTATATTTACATTATGTAAAACATATGGTAGTGGTAACCCTTAAGGAGCAAGCATGAGAACTACAGGAGGAAGTGGCAAGGCTCTGAAGCATCCTCTACCATAGGGACTTCATCAATTCAATGCTGGAGGAGACTTCAAGGACTGCAGAGGAAGGACTGCCTGAGGCCACTGGAGAAGGCACCTGGATACCAAAGAAGGTGGAAGCTAGAAGATTGTGACACTTTCCATTGATGGAAGAGGTCAGGTCAGGCATCCCTGAGTTTGGAATGATCAAATTGATTGTGCTCTATGAGGAAATGACTGGCTCTGTATGAGGGGGAGAGCAGTGGACATGACATACCTTGAACTCAGCAAGGCTTTTTATATACTCTCTCATGACATTCTTGCAAGCAAACTAAGGAAGTAAGGCTTGGATGAATGGACTGTAAGGTAGGGAGAAAGCTGGCTGGATCATAGGGCTCAATGAGTAGTAATCGATGGCTTGATGTCTAGTTGGCAGCCAGTATCCAGTGGAGTGCCCCAGGGGTCAGTCCTGAGGCCAGTTTTGTTCAATGTCTTCATCAGCTCTCTGGAAGATAGGAAGAAATACACTCTCAGCAATTTTGTGGATGACATCAAAGCTGGGGAGAGTAGTAGATACACTGAAGGGTAGGGCTAGAATTCAGAGACCTAGACAAATAAGAGGATTGAAGCAAAAGAAATCTCAAGAAGTTCAATAAGAAGAAGTGAAAGTCTTGCACTTAGAACAGAATAGTCCCATACACCAGTACAGATTTGGGACATGCTGGCTAAGCAACAGCTCTGCAGAAAAGGACTTAGGGGTTACAGTGCACAAGTTAAATATGAGCCAACAGTGTGCCTTTGTTGCAAGGAAGGCTAGCAGCATCCTGGGCTGCATTGCTAAGAGCATTGCCAGCAGATCAAGGGAAGTGATTATTCCCCTCTATTCAGCACTGATGATGCCACATCTGGAGCCCAGTGTTTAGTTTTGGGCCCACCATTACAGAAGGGATGTGGCCAAATTAGAGAGGCTTCACTGGAGTGCAATGGAAATGGTTGGGGGCTGGGGCACATGACTAGAGAGGCTGAATGAACTGGGCTTATTTCATTTGGAGAAGAGGAGATTATGGCGGGAGGGGGCAGGATTTAATAGCAACTTTCAATTACCTGAAGGTTGGATCCAAAGAGGATGGAGCTAGATTGCACTCAGTGGTGGCAGATGATAGAACAAGGAGCAATGGTCTCAAGTTGCAGCAAGGGAAGTTTAGTTAGATATTAGGAAAAAAAACCTCTCTCACTGGGAGGGTAGAAAGGCACTGGAACAGGTTACCCAGACAGGTTGTGGAATCTCCATCCTTAGAGGTTTTGAAGACCCAGCTAGACAAAGCCTTGGCTGGGATGATCTAGTTGGTGATGGTCCTGCAGGGGGTTGGACTAGATATCCTGATGGTCCTGCAGGGGGTTGGACTAGATATCCTGAGGTCCCTTAGAACCCTAATTTTCTATGATTCTGTGATTCCATATCAGTAGAAAACATGTGTCAGTGACAAAGTTTGGGTGTCAATAAAAAGCTTGCAGTTTGCTGGTTAAAAAGTGTTTTTGTGTTGGCAACTCTGAACTGGACAAAAAGGAGCATGCTGCAAGTATTTCTATGTGTGGCCAGGTTCATGTTTAATTTTATGCTAGAAAGAGCAATTTCAGAAATATTATCCTACTACTAGGAATAGCCTCCCTGGACTTCTCCTAAGCTTCCACTTTGGGTACTGTCTCTGATGGTGTCTAACTTCTATTATAATCAATTCAATATTGTCCTTAAGGCTTACTTTATCTTTAGATAAAACTACAAGTCATATATCGGGAGGCAGGGGGGGAGGGGGGGGAAAAAATGTTCACTTACATTAGATATTATTTGGAGTAAATAAAAGACCATCTGGAAAAAAACCATCCATGATGATTTTATTTTCTTTGAAAATTATTCTGCTAATTTCATTGTTTATTTCAGGTAGGAACACATTACTGTGCATCAATATAAAAAAAAAATTCAGATAATTCTCTGCTGTCCTCTCCAAAATGTCATTTTCATGCAGAAGTCTAATAAAATCCTGAAGATTACATTTTTAAAAAGAATTTTATACTGTCTCCTTAAAATATATGCTCGTTTTTTCCTGTGAATATTTAACATACTTACTTCTCTTTAAGAAGGCTAGATTTGCAAAGTCAAATAAGGAGTCTGGGCATAAAATTTCAAGAATATTTCACCTTTTGCTTGAGTTTTCCAAGAATTTCAGAAGCCTA